AAACCCCACCAGCATAACTGTGTGTTTACACACACACATAGAAACTAAGCAAGACCAGTTAGTAAACAGGGTTTCATTTTGTTTTTCTATTCTATTTGGTGCTGTTTAATCATTTTGTCTCTGGCATGTGTATGCAGGCAGCCAAGCATTGTATTAGGGGCCAGAAGTAAGAAATCTTCGTAGAATAAAAAGTTAAGCTGGCAAAGTTCTGGACATCAATTTTACTTTTGTCCTGAAAACTGGCCAAAGGCTGCCACTTCTTACTTTTATGCCAGAGCACACCTCAGCACCCACCTCGGGACATGGGAGCAGAGCGTGGAAACCGCAGTGTTCAGAGATACAAACACTTTCAAATAACCTGCATTCAGTCCTATCAAGGGACTACAGCGCTTCTGGCCAGAATCCTGGGTGCAAAATACATACCCAGACCCCTTCCACAAACAAGCGGTAAGAGCCAGGAAACTACGAGCAGCTGGTGAGCCAGTTCAGCTCCTCCTCTGTGGTCAGAAGTACTCCAGTTCCCAAGCGTCCGGGCAAGCTTAGGGACCCTGCTGCCCCTCAAACAAGAGCAGTCACGGCCAACAGGCACCCGCTTTAACCACAGACTGCTCTGGGCTTTGTAGGGCTCTGATGTGTGTGCTGCAGGGAGCTCAGAACAGAGGCACAAGGCATCCCTGGCTTGGCCACAGGGGGCCCTTGGTCCACGGGATGCAGGCGGCTATCCACACAGGCAAGCTCCTGGTCAGGCTGGGTCCTTCCGAGGCAACCGGCCAATCTGCTCCCTGGATTGCTAAAGCTGGACTCCGCCCACATTTACAGAATCTGTGAAAACTGGTATCTTGTCCGGAAATGCTTTAGGGTGTGAAAATCGTTTCTTTTTTGAAAATTATTTTTATAATTCTTATTGGCTGCACCATGCAGCATGTGGAACTTCCCCAACCAGGGACTGAACTTGTGCCCCCGGCAGCAGAAGCACAGAGCCTTAACCACTGGACCACTAGAGAAGTTCTGGAAAACATGTTTCCGAATGAGCTGCTTCTCTGTATCCTGTTTTCCCATCTACAAAATGGGGAGAATAAGCACTTGCTGCCTCACAGGGTTTCTGTGAGAACTGAACAAGCTGCTTTATATAACATATTTAGGCCAGTGAGAGGTGGCATTTCCCAAGTGTTATTCATTCACGTATCACCGTCCTAAACTTCTTGCTGTTTCCAGTATCATATATCTAGTATTTTTCTTTAAACTGAATCATTTTCTTTCTTGAGTTTATTTTAAAAGGAAACTGCACATCACCATGCTAAATGGAAAAACAGAATCCTGTGCAGGCGGCACTAGTGTTAAAGAACCCACCTGCCAAGGCAGGAGATCTAAGAGGTGCAAGTTTGATCCCCGGGTTGGGAAGATGCCCTGGAGGAGGGCATGGCAACCCACTCCAGTGTTCTTGCCTGGGAAATCCCATGGACAGAGGAGCCGGGCTACAGTCCACAGCGTCACAGAGTCAGACGTGACTGAAGTCAGACGTGACTGAAGCGACTTGGCAAGCATGCCCACCGTAAGTAAAGGCAGGCATAAAGTTGTATTGTTTTTATAATACCCACAATGAAAGAAAACAATGTAGCTCACTGAGATAGAGTCTGCTGCCTGTCGAAGGTGTTGATCCTGGGTCTTGCTCGGTCTTTGCTAAGAGGCAAGACAGGAGTTCATTCAAGGCCCCGTGGCCACAGGGAGACTTCCTCTTCTACGTCATTGCCAGTGACGGAGGAGCTGAGAGACCAGTGGTCGTCGCCCTGCAGAACCCGTCACTGGAGGTCCAATCTCTGTCACTCCAAAACTTCACCAAGCACACAGAAGACCACACAGAAGACATCTAGCTTCCGGCCTCTCCGGGAGAGACTGATCTAAATGGTCACCATCCGGGACTTCCTGTGGTGATGGAAACGTTCTGTATTTATGTTGTCCAATGTGGCAGCCACCAGCCACATGTGGCTATGAAGCACCTCAAGTGCTGATGGCGTGTCTGAGGGACTCGAGTTAAATTTCAATTAAGCCAAATTTAAATGGCCACATGAGGCTAGCGGCTGCTGGACTGGACCTGCTGTGCAGATCTGCTGGAAAAGCTACACATGCTGATCCTTTCGCCTGGGCTCTTCAAATGGACTTAAGGTTCTTTCCATGGTTATGCACTTAGCTTCCTTGGAGGGAGATCCTAAGTAAACCTGACAGCAATTTGTCACAGGGATATAACAGGGCACTGTCTACCATGTCCTCTATTGCTTAGTCTAAAGTCCTGTAAGGACATTTCTTTTAGACCTCTCTTTGAGGAACTGACATATCTTCTTCCAATTAGTGATGGACTTACCCAAAACAGCTACATTTCCAATTTCACACTGGCTGCCAGGATGCACAAAGGAAAACTTTCAAACTAATGAGAGCAACCACGGAGGCTTTCATTATAAACACATACATATATCTATATGGCTTTCATTATAAACGTGTGTGTGTGTGTGTGTGTGTGTGTGTGTGTGATTTCCAGTGTTCCCTTAATGAAAGTGCTCTTAGTTCACATTTTCTCTGACTCCGATATTTTATTTCTTCTATTTTATCACTCATTTCTGAGTTTCTCTAGAAATTATCTCAAATCTTTTGTGGAATTATATAAAATGTATTTTTAAGCTAGTAAAAAGTCCAACGGTACCAGTAGTTTAAATGAGTCACTCTCTCTCCAATTATCGCTTATCGTTTAAAAAACAACAAAGTCAAAACAAAGTGCACTGTACCCAAAGCCTTTCTCGAAAGCTTCCAGACACGTGCTCGGAGCCTGCTCTTGAGGCTCTGACCGGAAGCACTGTTTGCAAAAAGGAGAGAGACAGTTACATTCCAGAAACGCTGCTCCATACACTCCAAGACCCGAGGGGATTTTCAGAGACCCGGCAGCGCGGGATGCAATTGCTCTGGGCGGTGCGGGGCCTGCTGGGCCCGCGGCTCCATGTGATCTGGGCCTCGTCCTGTGCAGTGGGCTGGACCACACCCGGGAAAGCTCTGGAAACTGGTCAAGCATGGGGCGAGTGTGGCTCGAACGCCACTGTGACCACTGTGGGAACAATCTCCCGGGCAACGCTGTGTCTGTCTCGTTCCTTAACAGGCTTCTGGTCACTGAAAACGGCCCTGTGACTTGCCGGGGTGAGGTGGGAGAGGAGTCAGAAATGAAAGTCAAGGAAACCTCTCCAGGGAGCTTGCATTTTAATTTTGCTCTAAAATAAAGCCATCTGCTTCCCTCTCTCCCTCCACCAGGCAACACCCCAGCTTTCTGACGATCACAAAGCAGAAGTTACAGGACATTCAAATAAGAGGGTGTCTTCTTGGTTTGGCTTGGGATAAAAAAGAGACGAGGACATTCAGAAATCTGTCATCTCCAATTCTCTTTTCAAGCCAGAACTGAGAGCATCATGAACACATAGATTCTCTAACATTTACTAAAGTGCTATTGTCGCCCGGCCAAACAAGCAAACTAACACGATGTTCTAGTGCAAACTTCCTTGCCAAACTCTAGCTCATCTGTCCAGAAGATTTCAGGTAAAAGGCATGTAACATGCTTAGGCCCATCCCTATATAACCCACGCCCACTGCCAGTCCTGGCACCAGTGACCAAAGGCAGCAACCAATTCAGAAGATAAGAAACGAATCCCAAGTGCCTACTAGATACCGTGCATTCCTTGTCCTGACAAAAGCTTTCCAAAGTAAGCATTCTTATGATCTCCGTTTTACAGATGAGGAAACTGAGATTTCCCTAAGGCCATAAAAGTGAAACCAGGGCCCCTATTCTCAAGTTCAGCATCCTTTCAGCCCTACCCCAGTCTCCTGGAGAAATGTCTTAATAGCTGAGAAAACTTCTTCAATGGTCAATTTCCCACTAAGAAAAATGACCAAAAAAAAAAGGGGTTTTCACAGAGCTCATGGGAATAAGAACAAAACCTAATGAAAGCTGTTGTGATACAAGATGACAGTGGAACCAGAAGCAGTTAAGAGTCAAAGTTGAAAACCAAACAGTCTCAGGACGAAACACCAATGGCTGGAGTTCAGTTAAGAAAAGAAAGAGAAAGAAGAAAGGAAAAAAGAGGGTAAGTAGGCAGGGCTGGAAAAGACATCAGAAAATCAGAGAAAAGATGGAAAACCAGGGTCCCAATTGTTGGGGCAAAATCACCTCTAAAGCAAAGGTTCCCCTTGTCCCAGACACTCAATCCCCAGCTGGGTGTAGGCCAGCTGGCTCCACCCCAGGAGGCAGATTGAACATCACTTGACAACTGTCTGCTGCCCCCTCTCTGACACAGAGAGGCCTGCTTTTCATCTGCGGTGTTGACTGGCCCCTCCCTCAGTAACCAGGTCAGATGAGGTCAACTCCAACCCCAGTGTGTGTGTGTGTCTGTGTAGGGGCGGGGGGTGGGGGGGTCACATGATTTGAACCTGGCCCATCACAGAAGTCCATCACTCCACCCCTTGCTTCAGGGATGTGCCTGGGGTCCAAGACAGACCCTTGAGAGACGCCAGACTGGCTGAGAGTCTGGTGCTTTAGGGAGCCGCTTGTTCCACCAACCGAGAGAACTAGCCTGGAAAAGATGCCCTGGCAGAGGAACCAGGAGAAAATAGTAGCAGGTTCCTGACCAGAGATCCAGCCAAGCCTGAGGCCAGACCCATGTCCGGACTCTTCAGTTGTAACACACGCCATCAAAGCCCTGCTTTTCTGCCCAAGCAGCCTGAACTGAGTGGTCCCAGCCACACCAGGAACCCCGGCCAGCACGAGGAAGCGCCCCCAGGCTCCTCCTGTCTGATGGAAGGACCATTGCCTCGGGGAGCTTGGGCAGGTAGCTGCTGGCGTTGGGAGGTCGTGGCTTCTCTGTATGGCACTCCACACTCCATCACCAAGATGCAAAAGCTCCAGAGAATAACAAGCAAGGGTGGGCTCTGCCCTGACAGTGGCGTCTAACTGAAAACCAGGTAATTACCTGATACACATGGAAGGCGTTGGCAGCTTTGCCCCGGAGAAACACTGATGGGATCCAGACGTTGATCAGAGCTCGGTTTGATCTAAACAGAAGAAAGATCGAAATGGATCATTTCAATTTACAAAAAAAGGGAGGAAGCTATTAATATTCTCCTCTAAGAGGCATACAATGTATGACAACATGTGTTACACTTGCTAGTAGACTAAAGGAGCAGTTCCCAGTTTCACTACTTGGTCGCCCAAGATTTTAAGGGACTTAGTTTAAAATGCTCGTGTGTGTGTGTGTGTGTGTGTGTGTGTGTGTGTGTGTGTGTGTGTGTGTAAAATTTACAGATGCAGTTCACATTCTGGAATGAGAGACAGCTGCCCTTCAGTTCCTACTACCTGAGTAAAGTGGCCTGTAATTTATCTGAACCTCATTTTGCTCATCTGAAGAGGGGGTTGATCACAGGAAGACTCCACGAGGCTAGGGAGGGTCAAGAGCACTAATGCTCACAGGGTTTCTACAGTGTTCAGATGATTCATGCAGCCTCCTCACTGTGCCCACTTTAGACCCTGACCCCCATTTTAAGGGGGGGTTGGCGCTTCTCTGGTGGCTGAGTCTATAAAGAATCTGCCTGCTAATGCAGGAGACCCACGTTCAATCCCTGGGTCAGGAAGATCTCCTGGAGGAGGAAATGGTAACCCTCTCCAGTATTCTTGTCTAGAGAATGCCATGAACAGAGGAGCCTTGTGGGCTACAGTCCATGGGGCCACAAGAGTTGGACATGGCCTAGTGACTAAACCAGCAACATCACCTCATTTTAAGATCAGACTCCTTGAGACCAACACTCATGGCCATGCAAGCAGTGGCTGTTTGGGGCAGGGGGAGGGGATTTCAGAAAGTCAGGCACCAATAACCACTCTTGCAACTTTTCCAAAAGCACTGTGTGGTTTGAATAGAGCAAGTTTTATTTTTAATTCCATTACTCTAGGAGGTGGGTCAAAGAGGATCTTGCTGAAATTTATATCAAAGAGTATTCTGCCTATATCTTCCCCTATGAGTTTTTTTTTTTTTAATTTTACTTATTTATTTATTTTTGGCTCTGCTGGGTCTTCATTGTTGCATGGGCTTTTCTTGCAGCAGGGGCTATTCTCTAGTTGCAGTATGCAAGCTTCTCACTGGGGTAGCTTCTTAGTTGCAGAGACGGGCTCTAGGGTACTCAGGCTTCAGCAGTTGTGGCTCTTGGGCTCTAGGGCACAGGCTCAATAGCTCAGCAGTTGTGGTGCATGGGCTTAGTTGTTCCTCGGGATGTGGGATCTTTGCAGACCAGGAAATTGAACCCATGTCTCCTGAATTGGCAGGCGAATTCTTTACCACTGAGCCACCAGGGAAGCCTACCTCTAAGAGTTTTAAGTGTCTGGCCTTATATTTAGGCCTTTAATCCACTTTGAGCTTATTTTTGTTTACAATGTTAGGGAGTATTCTCATTTCATTCTTTCACATGCACCTGTCCAGTTTTCCCAGCACTCCTTATTGAAGAGGCTGTCTTTTCTCCACTGCATATTCTTGCCTCCTCTGTCGAAAATAAGGTATCCACAGGTGCATAGGTTTGTCCCTGGGCTTTCTATTCTGTTCTGTTGATCTATTTTTCTGCTTTTGTGCTAGTACCACATTGTCTTGATTACTGTAGCTTTGTGGTATAGTCTGAAGTCAGGGTTGAATAAAGCAAGATTTAAATTCAAATGCAGAATCATTTACTGAGCATGTACCATGGACGGATCCATGCTTTCACCCAGATCATCTCAATTGATCCTCGAAGGTTACTTGAGGGAACTTCAAGGGTTCTTTCGGTAGAGTGACAGTTCTGCCTTACTGGATGACTTTAACCACACCCACTATCACCACTCTTCAACAGCTGGATCGACATCATGCAGAGCTGATAAGCTGTCACTGAAACTTTCAGATCACTCCTAACAGCTCTCATAACAGTACTGCGCATTTCTGGAAGGGCTGGGAGGTCCCAGTCCTTGCTTCCATTCAGAGCTGTTCCAGGGACAAACACTTTTTCTCAAGCTCTCCTTCTCTCTAAAGAGCAGATCATAAAAATTCGCCAGCCTCTTGTGCTTGGAACACAGTTTGAGGCGCTGATGATGGAAGATTCCATGACTCAACAGCCTCACAACCTCCAGGGTAAAGAGCATTTCATTTTCACAAAGAAATGATTCTCTCCTGAAACAACATTTCTTCTAAGCTCTGAGCCAAGGCGCTGACCCCCTTTCATGGGGCAAAATAAGCCCTACTGATCACCTCCCTGGGGATCTGAGTACAACCTGCAATTCTGAGCCAATGAATTGGCTTGGGTACCTAACGACACCTCTCCTGGAAAGACCCCCAAAACTGTGCTAGTGATCAGTGTTCCCCCTTCATTTCTGTCAGCCAGAGGAAGGGTGCAGAACTGTAACTAATACTCCCATTTTCATTAACCTCCCAAGAGATCACACAGGCTGGTTAGGTGCATTCCCCTTTCTGTATCACACTGTATTAGAATTGACTGTTTACGCGACCATCTCTCTCCTTCTCATCCTTCACCTCTAACTTCCATGACCCCCTTCACCAGCACTTAGGGCCTCTTGACGCCCCCTGCCTACTCTCTCCTCCTCTCTCTACTTCGGCCCCTCAAGGCCAGCTGTGATCTGCACCTTATGAATGAGGAAACTCAGGCCCAGAGGGGTTAAGCGGCTTACCCAAGGTCACACTGGGTAAGTGATGTCACTCACTTAGCTGTGAGTCCTGCAGCTAAGGTTTCAACTTGGCTCAGCCCGGCTCTAACAAAATGTCCCTCCCTCTGTCTCCAGAAGCAGATGGACAGAAGACACCATCTCTTGGGGAGGCTAAACCTTCCTCCACTCAGCACAACTGAATCAGAAGAGGGAGGTTCTGCTTGACCCTGACCCGGGACTCACTCCACTCTCTTCAGCAGCCCCACGGGGCTATTTGGTCCAAAAACCAAGGCAACTCAATCAGGAGTCAGTCTGAAGACCAACTAAATAGCCTAGGGGTTATCGGCAGAGGCACCAGATAGAATTAAATCCAATCAAAAACCAGACCAAGGTACTGAACTCTTGTGTTTCCAATAACCCTGGGGCTGCAAACTCAAAACTGGAACAGGAGACACCCAGACAATGGAAGCAGTGGAGTGGGCCGGATGAGTGGGGACTGAGGCAAGCGGAGGGGCACGCGCCCCATACAGCAGAGGCGGCTGCCGCTCAGCTCCAGCTGATGGTGGCCTTGCCGGGATTTCTTCTTCTAAAGAAACTGGAGAAATTTAAATTTTCATGTGGCATCTTCCAACTCTTAAATGCCAGCCAAAAAGATTAAATTGTTTTTCAACACCCATGGAGGGAGATTAAAAACACATCTAAAGGCCGGACTCAGGCTGCAGGCGGACAACTCCCCAACTCGACAATAACCAAATCAGCCGTGCAGATTTAAACAGTCTTTTTTTTTTTTTTTCCCTGCTGTGGTCTCCTGGGACGTGAGCCAAGCAACAAGAATCCTGTTTCTAAAAAGCCCTTCATGAGCAAGAGCCATGGACTTACATTTCAAAATCCGATAAACTCTGGTCTTCAGAAGTTTGACTCAAATCTCCAGGCACCTGCCATCAGGAGAGGGGGGAGGGGGAGAGAGAAAACACATCATGGTTACCATGGTTTGCATAATCACGGGAAATTCTGCCTCTCAACGGTCCCTGAACATTTCCTATTCAGAACGAGGTGAAGAAGCAGTTACTGGAAAACAGTAAGAGATTTTGTGGAAGGATGGTTAGAGACGGAGTTACAGTAATAAAAATATGCCACCATGAAAGGTCTCAATTACCTTCACGGGAAAAAAAGAGCTGTTAATCCCATTGAGATCATTGTGGACGTGAAAAAGCATGTAATTTTGGAGCGAGAGAGGCCTAATTCAGAGCTGAGAGGTGTGATATCAAATATGCAATGGCAAAAAAAAAAGTCATGTGACCAGGGTGACAGTCACATGCACAGACACACCTGGTGTGCAAATATAGGGGCCAATTTCTGTCCCCCAAGATGGCTCCATCCTTTCCCCTCATGTGTAGGCAATTTAAGGCAGCTGAGTATGACCTTCTCCTCTGAATCAGAAGGGCCCCATGAGAACAGGACAGGGTGCAGGATGCTAAATCGCCTGGCGGGATGGTAATTCTCGCAGACAGCAGACAGCTGGCACTGGTAGATGTTCAGTCAATCATGATGTTATCAGACCCTGGGAGTGAGTTTCCTTTTGTGACAGGATCGTTTGTGAACTGGAGGTGACTTCCCTGGTGGTCCTGTGGTTAAGGATCCACCTGCCAATTCAGGGGACACGGGTTCTGTCCCTGGTTCAGGAAGATCCCACATGTCCTGGGGCAACTAAGCCCAAGCACCCCAATACTGAAGCCCTTGCGCCCTACAGCCTGTGCTCAGCAACAGAAGAAGTCACTGCAAGAAGAAGTAGTCCAACTAGAGAGTCGCCCCCACTCGCCACAACCAGGGAAAGCCCACGTGCAGCAATGAACACCCAGCACAGCCAAAAAATGAAGTGCATTTTTTTAAAAAAAGAAAAGGAATGTGAACTGGACAGAATTTAAGACTGTGGATCAAAACTGAGAGGAATCCAATGGAACAGAGAAGAGGGAGAGGTGACGAGGGAAACAGGCCCTTCATTTCACACTGTGCACCTTCAGGGCATTTATGTTACCTTCAATCATCATTAATTGTGGTGAACGGGGACTTCCCTGGTGGTCCAGTGACTAAGATTCTGTGCTCCCAAAGCAGGGTGCCCGAGTTCAATCCCTAGTTGGGGAACTAGATCCCACATGCCGCAACTAAGAATCGCCGCAGCCAAATGAGTAACTTTTTAAATGATTTTTTAAAATCGTGATAATGATTCTGGGGGTGGGTAATGTCCCCCAGATGAGGGAAGAGAGGCTCGCAGAGGCCAAACTTGTCCAAGGCCGCACAAGTAGGAAGGGGAGACAAGTTCAGATCTGTTCCACTTTCAAGGCTTTTCTACTACCAACCCTTAGCAAACAAGAGGAAAAGGCAGCTCCAAGGTGATGGGAGGAGGAGAGACTTGACAAAGCTCTGGCTGAACAGAGGAGAAGACACTAGGAGGCAGTCCCTAAAGAAACAGCAGGCTCCTCTGGGAGGCAGAAGAGGGGCGGTTAGGCAGCCTGGGCTCTGGGACCACATGGCTCCTGACCTAGTCCTGAGCCCCTAACAGCGCAGCCTCGAGCAAGTCACTCGACTTCTCTGTGTTGCACTGTCCTTGCTGGTGAAATGGGTATAACGGCCATAGGCACAGGGTTACTGTGAGCACAAGAGGAGCTGACACGTCTTGTGTGTGTGGAACAGTGCCAGGCAGGGGGAAGGTCTCCCTGACTGACTTGTTTGCTCTAATAGTAATACGACAACAAGGGGCTCCCCGGGTGGCTCAGCTGGTAAAGAATCCGCCTGCAATGCGGGAGACCTGGGTTTGTTCCCCGGGTCGGGAAGATCCCCTGGAGAAGGGAACGGCTACCCACTCCAGTATCCTCGCCTGGAGAATTCCATGGACTGTATATAGTCCTTGGGGTCGCAAAGAGTCGGACACGACTGCGCGACTTTCACGCACTCACTCACTGAATAACATGACAAGCACTGAGAAGGAACAGCAGTGTGCTATCCTTGACACCAGACTCTCATCTGCCAGCAACCCTCGGGGTGTCTCACCCTCTATTCGGCAGCCCAGACGGAGGATGGCCAAGCTGAGCCCTTTCCAGGTTCCTGGAGCTAATCAGCAATTCAACTGGGCTCTGGGCAGCAGGCTTTGCTGAGGAGCTGATGCTGAGAGAGTCTCTGAAGTCCAGCAAAGAGAAACCTGCCTAAGCACCTGAGAAAACGTCAATTTCTTCCTTCTTTTTCTGTTTTAATTGGGGGATCACTGCTTCACAATGTTGTGCTGGTTTCTACCACACAGCACCAATCAGCCATGCGACAGCCGCTCAGCAGCGTCTGACTCTTTGCAGACCTTGGACTGCAGCCTGCCAGGCTCCTCTGTCCGTGGAGAGAGAGATATATGCATATCCTCTCCCTCTTGAGCCTCCCTTCCCCTGCTCCGCCAATCCCACCCCTCCAGGTCGTCACAGCACCACGCTGAGCTCCCCGTGTTACACCACAGCTTCCCCCAGCTATCTATTTTACACATTGCAGTGAATATATGTCAGTGCTACTCTCTGAATTTGTCCCATCCTCTCCTTCCTCTGCTGTGTCTACAAGTCCATTTTCTATGCCTGAGTCTCTGTTAGTGACCTGCAAACAGGTTAGTCAGTACCGTTTTTCTAGAGTCCATATATACGTGTTAATATATGGTATTTGTTTTTCTCTTTCTGACTTATTTCACTCTGTATAACAAGCTCTAGGCTCATCCACCTCAGTTCAACCGAGTCACATGCATTCCTTTTTATGGCTGAGTAATATTCCATTGCATATATGTATGACAATTTCTTTATCCATTCATCTGTTGATGGACATCTAGGTTGCTTCCATGTCTTGGCTATTGTAAATAGTGCTGCGATGAACAAAAGACCAGGAACTCCCTGGGCTGGGAGTTGGGGTGGCCCTGTTGTTAGAGGGACTGTCATTTTCCTCAGGGCGTCTAGGGTGGGAGCAGGTACAATCCCTTGGGGGAAGCCATGAGGCTGTGTGTACCAAGATCCCTAAAACATCTCCATCCTTTGACCCAGAAATCACACTCCTAGGATTTATCCAGAGAAAACAAAGATGTCAACAAAAATTTACATCAAAGATGATTCCTTGTTCCAGGCTTAGACAAGTAAAAGAAAAAAGAATCTAATGGTACAACTATAGAGGAATGATTCAAGAAATTATGACATGTCCATAGGAGATGCCTGGCTTTAAAAAAAATGAGTTATACACATAAATACACACACACATACTCATGAGGGTACAAACACAAAAATAATTCTGGGAAAGTATGTAAGAAAACAGCAACACTGATAACAGATTAGGAGTGGGACTGGGGAGAAAAATGACACTTATTTTCCATTCACTATCTTTCTGTAAGATTTAAAAAAATGATCGAGTGAACTGCTTTAAAAGAATTTAAAGGTGTTTTTGAAGAATGAGATGGCGTTCCATGTGCAGTTATGAAAACATCTAAAAGATAAACCGTAACAGGAAAGCAAGAGCCGGCTACAGAGGGTGGGTGTAATACACTTCCTTAGGTGCAAAAATGGGGAAGGAAGAGTATCAAGTTGTATCTATTTATTTTTGCAGTAGGAAGGTATAGAAGTGAAGTTCAAGGCACCAATCAAAGGGGTACCAGCCCTGGGGTTAGGGCCTGGACAGCAGGGTGGGAGTGAGGCTATTCATTCCACACACTTCTATATCTACTATTTCAGTTTTGAAATAACCTAGTACCCATTAAAAATGTAAACTAAAATGTATTATCCCATCAAAGAGTGCTCTTGATAAATTTTTAATGGCACAGGAATAAAGCTTCTGTTCTCTGCTTAATAAAATGCTACACATGTAAATCCATGGCTGGTTCATGTCAATGTATGGCAAAAACCACCACAATACTGTAAAGTAATTAGCCTCCAATGAATAAAAATAAATGGAAAAAAAATAAAATAAAATGTTACTATGGAATTCCGTGGTGGTCCAGGTGGTTGGGACTTCGCACTTTCACTGCTAAGGGCACTGAGGCAAGAACACTGGAGTGGGCAGCCTAATCCTTCTCCAGGCGGATCTTCCCAACCCAGGAACCGAACAGGGGTCTCCTGCATTGCAGGCAGATTCTTTACTAGCTGAGATACCAGGACTCGGATTTAATTCCTGGTCAGGGAACTAGGATCCCAAAAGCTGTACGGCACAACCAAAAAAAAAAAAAAATTTTTTTTTTTTTTTTTTAAAAGCTGCTATTAACATGAACTGCAAATACTCAGTATGAGTCCTGGGTAAAACTAGCAATGACTGTGGATCAGTAAAGTGAGGATGGAAGAGATCTGAAAGACAGTGGGGTATCAGAGAGAGGGCAGTCAGATGAATCTGCAGCATGTGTCTGGACCTCTCTGCACTTTCTACAAGAAGATGCATTAATCCTGTAACCACTAACAGACACATCTGTACCGCGTTACCATGTAAAGTAAACAAAACATTCTTCCCAACCGTCCCCCGCTGGACGGGACGGCCTGTGTCTTCAAGTCTTCCTTGCATGGGGATATAAGAGGGCTGAGGGCACCTCTGAAGCCCCTCTTCCAAACACCACTCTCCCCCTGCTGCTTCTACATGGAACCCAGTGCCTTCTCTGGAACTCAGTTCTCTGAGTTTACATCCACACCTAAGCCATCACTTTGCTGACAAAGGTCTGTTGAATCAAAGCCTTTTGACTTTTGGTTTTTCCAATAGTCATCTATGGATGTGAGAGTTGAACTGTAAAGAAGACTGAGCACCAAAGAACTGATGCTTTCAAACTGTGGTGCTTGAGAAGACTCTTGAGACTTCCTTGGACTTCAAGAAGATCAAACCAGTCAATCCCCAAGGAAATCAGTCCTGAATTTTCATTGGAAGGACTGATGCTGAAGCTAAAGTTCCA